TGGACTGTAGAACAAAGAATTACGACAAGACTCCAAGAATGAACTTGGGTAAAACCAGACCCTGCTTATGTAAATATCACCAACGATGTCTTTACTGTTGTTTATTTCGAAAGGACAGTAGTCAATTAATTAATTGTACAAAAAAAGTACAATGTTGCACCACACTGAAAATTAATCAATATTATAGGCCAGACCGCAGTGTCATTATTAATTGGACAGAATGTCATCATCTTGCGAATCCCTAAAGAAATGGTTTGTTGTGCAAGAGAGGACGGTAATACAGCTTGAATCGAACACACTTACTTTGAGAATGATGTGTGCGCTGGATTTGCCATAAAGTGGCAGAGTCAACAGAAAAGAAAGGATGTATAAACAAAACTGTAATCACAACCAAATTATCGATGACTGATGCTACACCGTTCCGTCAATCGTGATCATTGCGTATAATACGCGTTTTATATGGCGTGCAAAGTTAACATTTATTCCGCGTATACAAATATCTATTCCTAATAGAGATATCTCTATTCCTAAAACAGATATCTCTGCACGCCATAGTCAATGTTTTTAAGATGCTTTATTTCATTGGCTGACTTGTACCAGTTTTAAACTTAAAGTGACAGGTTTTCGCATCCCCAGGATACAATGAGCTTTTTAAGACTATATTATTTGGCTACAATAAAATGAGATGCACGATTTTTATTTCTGGTAGGTTGGTACTCGATGGGCTTTTGACGAAGCTCAACAAAGTTTGCTAAGAAGATGGATCAAGTTTAAAAATCTCCTTGGTGATCTCATTGGACGGTATATGTTTGGCGTTTATTTCCCCATGCAATAAAAAGGCCAATTTGAACAATAAAAAGAGCATTATTTATACAATGAAAGAGCAATAAAAAGAACAATTTGAGTTATAAACAGAGCAATTTGAACAATAAAAACTGCAATTTATACATTGAAAAGACCAATTTATACAATAAAAAGACCAACAGAAAATACAAAGTTCATTTTGAACAATAAAAATAAAAGATCCGTTTGAGCAATGAAAAGAATATTTTTTAACAATGAAAAGATCAATTTACACCATAAAAATCAATTTGAACTATAAAAAGAACAATTTGAACAATGAAAAGAGTAAAATAGTAATAAAACGAGTAAAAGAGTAATACAAAGAGCAGTTTGAACAATAAAACAATGAAAAAAATAAGCAATGAAATATGCAAATCAGAAGCAGTAAATACGTGTATATTTAGGATATGTGGAACGATTTTATTTGTTTGGTGTCATTTAAAGGTCATCCTTCACAGGGTCAACATGAATGGTATTTATACTGCCAAGCCATATGCCTGTCACCAGTGTGACAAATGCTTCGGACGGAAGTTTAATCTAGAGAGGCACATGGAAAATATCCATGTTGAGGAGGAATCAGGCATGTATGAAGTTGACGAAAACTCGGATTCTGTTGAGGAGGTCGATGATGAAACCTCAAATGAAGACAGTTCAGACGGGAAGACAATGCCGCCTACCAAGATTGGCTAGCTGAAGCTAGAGAAACACATGGGGATGCGGGATGAAAAATATGACAAGTACGTCAACGAAGGTATGGATGAAGATCAAGCCAGGCAGAGGGCAAACAGAAAGACCCTCTGGGCAGTCAAACAAGACTTTTTCGACAACTTTAAGGAGTTCCTGTCAAGTTACCTACATTTAAGGGAAAATGAAACTCACAAGGACATTGTGGATGATCTCGATGGAAAACTTGATAAAGGCATGAACGTCAACAAAGCCTTGAATAAAGTTTTGCCTAAACATGCTGAAAAATTTGCCGGACTGTTTCATGACGAAGAGGAGCATGCCTAAAAGATAACAGTCTGTAGAGACAAATAGTTCCAAAAAGAATGAGTAATGTAATGCCTCTGATTTCAAAGTTAACAAACTTCTTGTAATCACTCTTGTAGTAATTCTTAAAATTACGAAGATAATTATTGTAAAAAATCAATGATGAACAAAAGGAAATAAAACGGTACCAGTACCAACCTACCAGAAACCAATATGTAAAGTCCAACGAATTTATTTAGTGTTATACTTATCGGTATGACTATCGAATAATAATTCTCAGATCAGATATTGGCCGGAACTTCTACACAATATTCCACAGCACGACGAATAAATTTACCCCTTTGCTATGTGTTAAAAATCCCCAACTGACGTCATGCCGCCCCCAAGAATTCTTAATTTTATATAATGCTGTATTTCACATTTAGTTCCCACAATAAAGAACAACAGTAACGCTCCGCTCTGACTGAATTTGCAAAAATGTATACATGTACAGGGTATTAAACCGCCGTAAAACATCCGTTCAAAGAATTTTAAAAATTCTGCCAGAGCCCGAACCATATACATTTACAGGGAAAGCGACGTCAAACACTCTCGTTCAAAGGAATAAAGATTCAGCTAGGGACAGCAGGGTCTTCTTCCCGTATCGATCAAATCTTGGTAGCCATAGTAAGCTAAACGCAAGACCGTTAGCACTTGGACACCCTCTCTCCTTTAGTGTCCGAAGGTTAAGTCGGACCAACGCTCACTTCCAATGTACACAATGTAATCATTAACACAATAGTCCGCTGACATAGCTCACCACTATGTACAGTCCATTGTCGAGGGATTATCACTCACAACCCGGCGGCGAGTGACGGTCCTTTGTGTAGGGATTATCGCTTCCTGCTCCTTGATTACATTAGGATCGCCTGGTGGGCCAGTATACCATCACACACTGTATGACTCATCCTCTTTCATCATGTTGTGCCATAATTTCATAAGCAAGGTCAAATTGTACCAAAAATTTTTACCCCGTGCTAGGCCTTACTCCTATTTGATCCCATACAGCAGGGCCAACCTGTACCAAACTTTCTGACCTTATGCCTATCCCTTACCAAAGGTCAATCTGTACTATAATTTTTGACCCTATCCTCATTCCTATTCATATCAATGTCATATTATTATTATACTTATGCATATTAATGTGACCTTTTGCTATTTTTGTCGAAAAGGTCAAACTGTACTAAACTGACCCCCACTACTCATGTATGCACCTTTATTAGGTTTTAGAATGTCGCTATTTTAGCTTAAGTCACCTACATGATGGACAATTACAGTTAACAGTAATTCTAAGCACAAAAAATGATCATTCACTCGCTTGTTTATTATTGAGCATTTGAAAGCGCCGAACAAAGTGGGAAGAAAGCAGATTTCAATGGTTTTCTTTCCTTTTGTATAAAGTCCACATTCATGAAATCTTGAAGTGCTCGTTAGCGTGTCACAGACTACTGATGTCAGTCAATTTATAACAGCCAAAATAATGAAATATTGATGCGATCCAGTTGTGGTTTTGTGTCTTTTTATCTACTAGTTTTGCGTGATAGTAGTCCGATATTTTGCGTTATTGTATCTGAGAAACAACGGTTGCATGCAAACAGAAGTTAACAGAGTTTTTTTTAAACAGAATATCAAAATTGGGCATTCCATATTTTTTCCACCATGTGGGGATCACCTACGAATTTCAAATCACTGGTCTGGTCTTGCCCAGTTCATTCCAGTCTGGTTTCGCGTAGTCTGATCTGTCTCTGTAACCATTAACAATAGAGACGCTGTTGACATTACCGGAAGCACAATATGCCCTGCACGATCATAGCCTGCTGCTCAGTAAACGCACCAAAAACAAATCTATGTATGTAGCCTACGTAAAGCGAATGTCTGAGGATACCGATAAAATTTCAGAAATCAACGTGACCAGACCCTTTTCGATAGAGTTATTTTTCTTTCTGCAATTTTTAGGGCTACTTTTCAGACTAGCGAACAAAACATGGGCTTGTTTACTGCAGTTCTTTTGCAGGAAAATGCGATCCCGTTGGCAATTCCCATCTTACACCTAGCAATTGATACAATTAATACAATACTTTTTAGTTTGAGACTATAATTTGGCGGCAATAAAATGAGATGCATGTATGTATCCGTGAAATTTATCACCACTTTAATATAACTCCCACGGGAATAAATAAAAAAAAATCTGCTGACTGCTGCCTGTATAAACCTTTCTTCTCCGATACAATAACACAAATATCGGACTACGGTCCTGCGATCACAAAACCACAACTGGATCGCATCAATATTTCATTATTTTGGCTGTTATAAATTGACCGACATCAGTCGTCTGTGACACGCTAACGAGCAAAAGGAAGGAAAACCATTGAAATCTGCTTTCTTCCCACTTTGTTCGGCGCTTTCAAATGTTCAATAATAAACAAGCGAGTGAATGATCATTTTTGTGGTTAAAAGTACTGTTAACTGTAATTTTCCATCATGTGGGTGGCTGAAGCTAGTTCTTAAAATAGTAACACTCTAAAACCTAATAAAGGTGCATGCGTGCAAACTATTAGTATTAATGGTGAATACTAACATACGCAAAAGACAAAATGATGTGCCTGCCGACCTAAAAGAAGAGAATTCCGTTCGGAAAAAGAACCAAGAAAAAACAACCACGACAAAACTGCCTGAAGGATTCCACCTTGCGTGTTCTACTTTTTAGTTCCTGAGAAAAAAAAGGGAACTGATTTCAATAATTGTTATCACTATTTAGTGCTTCACCGGTTTAGCCCTATATAAAGCGTGGTTAGATATTTCGATTTTACTGTGGTTCTGTGCCCATTTCCAACTTGTATCGCAGGCACAGTTTTCTCTTAATAATTCACCAGGACTATACAGGCATGGTTTATTCCACTTGTGTCACAACAAATTACAATCAACAGGAACTTAGTACTTCTCAGTTACCATGGATACCAGCTTCCTCAGGAAAGGTACCAGTCACATCAATCATTCGCTGTCAATGGGACTAGATCGGAGACCAAGGGTACGGTCATCCGCCAACACTGTACGCACGCCACAGCTGCCGCACCCCGTCTTCACTCTTGATGCGTTATGCTTTTTGAGATCAAAATAACACACTGCAGACACTGCAGGATTCGTCTGTGTTCGATTTGTCAGCAATAATTGCAAACTCCATCGTGTTCGTGTTTGGCGTACCTGGCAACTGCCTCGTCCTCCGTGTCTCCTTGACCAAGACCCGTAAGACTAGTACCCATGCCCTGATCATGGCCTTGGCCTGGGCCGACCTGACCCTCGGCTTCTTAAGAATCGTCCAGGTATCAAAGAGGGCCTTTGCTCTGGCCAGTAAAAGTACAGAGAACAGTATTTTCTTTTGTTTCATCAGGGCCACAGAGCACGTGGTCATGTCCTCCCTCCTTACTGTAATGCTGATCGCATTGGATCGCATGCCGCCCACAAAGGTGGTTTTTCACCCTCAGTAGAACTAAGATAGCGATTGGCCGCATTGCTGGTTGCGTTTGTGGTCACAGCTCCAGCTTTCATAGAAATCACGAACTGGTCGAATCATGCCGTACATCAGGCGCAGGTAGCACTCTACATGTTTTCTTTCTCGGTCGCGTTTGTGTCGATTATAGTGTCCTACGGAAGAGTTTACGCTACCATCCGGAAGCATGTCAAAGGTGACGTTGAGAAACCAGCAAGGGCAACCGACTATGCTTTAAAAGTTGTCAGCAAACGATCGGAAAACTTGCAAGGCACCGCACAACACATGGAAAACTTTCATGTGGCAAATGTCAATCCCCCATCTATATCCACATTTGTCCACAACCAGGTGTCGCCTTCCTCTTATCAACCAGGCACCTAAAAAAAATAAAAAAAAATAAAAAAAACCACCATGCGATGGCAGCTGGAGGCCTTCACAATATCAAGTAACGCCATTCGTGATGTGTCCAGAAAGCAAACGGGTATGAAGTGTCTCGGTGCAGACCTCAACCAGAAAACACTACTTGAACGTGTGTCCATCCAGAGAGATCAGCTTGGCTCTGATAAAGACAGATGGTGCCACCCTGGGTCAGTTGACAGGACACAGCACGTCCCCAAAGGTCCGGTGGTGTACTCCTGCAACCAGGTTGTTCTTCATCACTAGCCTTGTGTTTTAATATCCTAACCTTGTTGCCATTTTCGATTTTTTTAGTTTGTCGCTCAGTGGCGCTACATGTGGGAAATTCCACCATCGAGCACGCAGATTTGAAGATATCAGAGGCAGTTATGTTAGCTCTGTTCATCAAAAGCGCCACTAAACCCTTGATATAGGCCTACGGAGTAGCTAATAGACGATTCAGAGAGGAGTTGAAGAAAGATCTTTGTAGGATCAGGTTTTGTTGAGCTTAAAATCTCACTTAATGACAACAATTTGAGCACAAAAATCCTCTCATGTTTAAGGTGGAGAATGAGGGGCACTTGGGCAGTCTGAATGAACGATTTAATAGTTGAAATATGACCATAAGTGACGTGATGAGGCAGCAAGGAGTGGTCCCCAAGAAAACTCCTGGCGACGCCCGTGATGACGCCCCTGTCTTCATCTCGCACGGGTTCGGAGCATCGCTAGAAAAGAATGCAGTATCTTCGTGTGGTGTGTAAAACTACGTCTTAAGAGAGATAAAATCTAATAAAAAGTACATCAATCCTATCTGTGTAAAATATGACACGTAAACTGGGTAAAATTCGAGGATAATGAAGTAATGTTTTTAAAGATCTCGTGTGGCTAAATGAGAAATATGGCATGTTCGATTAGTGAATCATTTCAATCTGTAAATTCAACACAGCATATTGTTCACTAACAAAAATAAGGTTTAACAGACATGTAGTGTTGCTTTTGTAAATAATTTCACAATTAAATTCTCAATTTTGTTGTCATGGTTTATCTTCCGGGTCTTAGATATGTGATGTCACACTTTCCAAACTGCAGCGCTCAGATGCGTTGAGAACAACCTGCCAAAATGTGCAGGGGTTGATAAAAATCTTAGTCGTTGTTTAATCGACATGGAAAAGCACAAATAAAATTCTTGATGAAATTGTTCCTACTCTTCGAGTCTCGTACTTTGCTGCCGTTTATCTGGGCAGTTTTAATCCAGTCTACTAGTTATGGAGGTTTTTAATTTTAATTTGATTCATCACAAAGTTGGAGGTGACCTCTCTACGCGTCAAACGAAATGAAAAAAACGCTCTCTTGATGGCGCCCTTGAAATCGATCGTTGTGCTCCAAGTTGAGCCACTAATTATGGCCTTAATGGACTGTATTTTTTCTAAGACTGATATCAGCATGTTTCAAATCACCATTAAGTGGCAGAGTCAACGCGGAAGGAATGAATGACATGTAATCAAGACCCCATTAGCTACGTCCTATGCAACATCGTCTCGTCAGTCCGCAGTATCACGTAAAACACTGGATGTTTGATTAAACCATTGGAATACCACTTGATATGTCTCTTAACTGTAAGCTAAGAAGACTACATGTCGAAAAAGGGAAAGAACAAAGATAAATATAGCACGAACAGTACCCTAAAGAAGTGGCAATAAGATGATTTTTTGTTGATTTATAAATAATTATTTCTTGAATTCGTGAAAAGTATTATTAAAAGTAAGAGAATCGGTAAAATTAAGAATTTTTTTTACCTAAAAATGCTATTCATTAAGCTAATACAACAATGAATGACACCTGTCTTCGGATTCTTACTCTTGTCGAGCATTTTTCTCCGGTCCTCGTGCATAAATAATAGCCATCACAAAGGAGAATTTGCTGTGCATTATATAGCTGGAAGTGTTGGCCCCAGTCATGCATGGTTTTCCTGGACAAATTTATGGAAATGACATCGAATTCCAGTTTCCTGTTGGTAGTTGACGGGGCAGTCAATGATCGTATTGGGTGCTCTGAACATGAGTCATGCATCGTCTTATGACTGTTATTGGGACTTTTTGTGGAAATGTGGAAACGGTATATGGAGAGTATTGTGTTTAGGCCTAATTCCAAACTGGATCTCAAAAGCTCGTGTTTGCAAAGATTTTAGGGCATGCATAAGTTACTTTTAATCACGTGAGAGCATTACTTCATTATTTCAAGATATGTCCAATTGTTACAAGATATCTTTCAAGTGATATGACGATTTTCGAGTCTTAAGAGTGATTAAGTTGTGAAATCTAGAAACCCAATCCGCGGTATTTTGAAATTTAAAATGATTCAGATCTATCTTACACACATCAAGACAATCACCACAACTAAGTGGTGTCACAACCGCTAAAACTTTGATTCACAATAAAAAAGGCGATGATTTTAGAATTATAATAAACGCCCGTGCAAATGGAAAGTAACACGGCGGTAATCCCTGACGAAATAGGGATATTTTGTGTTCCCCCTTCGAAAAAGTAAACTCTTGTGGCCAAATTTGGATAGTTTCGTCCATGTTATGCAAGGCTCCACAAATTACCCAACAGTTGCTGCTTCAAGCTTAATGTACAAACATTTCCCCAGTGCATAATATCTAAACTCTATAATACGCCAACCGCCATAGTCGTGTCTCTCATTAAGTCGAACAAGAATAGGGCACTAAGGCCTAATATTCAGCGTCACAGCTGAAGTCATGGCAAATGGGAGAATACACGCAAACGTTTCCCTTTCCGGTTACCTTGGATACCGACTTACTTGCCACAAAGGCTACACCGGCCGTCAATCCTTCGCTCTATAGTGTGATTTCATGCATCATGCACATTCATGTCAGAGGAGATAACAGTTATCTACGAATACTGTGCGCTTACATATTATGAGTGACCACTTATAAGAAACCGTCTCGTTAAAATGGAAAACTCCTTGAATTCCAGCCAACTGTTAAACGACATGTCAAAGGATTCATTCGTGTTTGACCTTTCAGAAGCAATTGTAAACTTGCTGATCTTCTTTTTGGCGTGCCTGGTAACTGCCTCATCCTCCGTGTCTACTGGACCAAGACCCGTAAGACCAGCACCCATGTCCTGATCATGGCCTTGGCCTAGGCCGATCTGACCGTCTGCTCGTTGAGGATCATCCCAGTAGCAGAGAAGGCCTTAGCTCTGGCCAATAAATTTAATGAGAACGATTTGGTCTTTCGTGCCATTGCGGCCGTTGGGCATGTGGCCATCGCTTTTTCGGGCTTAATCACAATGGTCATTGCGCTAGATCGCTACGACTGTATATGCCGCCCACAAAAGCGGTTCTTCATCACCCTCAAAAGCAGTGAGGTAGCTGCTATTGTTACATTACTGACTTCACTTCTGATTGCCATCCCGAAGTTCATAAGAATCACGAATCGGTTAAATCCTGTCGCATACCAGGCACAGGTATCACTCTACATAGTCTCTCTCTTGACCATGTTTGCGGTAATTGTAGTGGCTTATGGAAAAATTTACGCGATTATCCGGAAACACGTCACAATAGGCGTTGATGAGATGCCAAAAGATGGAGACGAATACAACTCGGCAGTTGTCGACAAGAGCACCTTAAAGGTCATAAACACTGGACAAGACAGAGGTAACTTTGACACAGCAAATGTCGACAAACCCGTGTCGGTATCCACAGACATCCACAGACACGATTCAGCTGCCTCGGATCAAGCAGGCATCTCACAGACCAAACAGACACTGGTGGATATCAACAACACTGATACCGCATCAAGTAGTGTCGTTTGCAATTCACTGCGGAAAGAAGCACGGATAGACATCAAGAGAAAAACGCATACACCGAAGAAAGCTGAGCAAGCCATATTTAAGGACACACGGTCCTCTTCAAGGTCAGATGACGGGACACACCAAGTTCCAAAGAGGCCCGGCGGTGTACTCCTGCAGCGTAAGACAACCAGGATGCTTTTCATCACTAGCCTGGTGCTTATCCTGACGTGGCTGTCATTTTTCACACACTACGGTTTAACATTCGCTCTGCATGCTGGTGCGGACATCAATGCCGTATATCTGGAGACTTCTTATGTGCTTGCTTTAGCTTTGTATATCAACAATGCCATTAATCCACTGGTTTACGGACTAGCGATTGGACGATTCCGCCAGGATTTCAAGAAAGAGCTTTGTAGGATCAGATATTGCTTAGCTTAATGCCAGCAACCTTGAAACTAATGAAAATGCGGAAATTCCGTCTTCAGGACGGTTCATATACTTGGCGCGAAAGCGAGCGTCAGATCCCATGTTTGTGCTGCGGAAATCGCAAAAATTAAACACATTGTAAATCGAGTGAATTTCAGTCAAAATGTTTCACAACATCGAATTCGCTTCACTTTATTCGCCTGAGGTATGAAAAGGCCTTTACATCGCCATTTCGAAACTCGAAATAACTCTAAAAATGAGATTGCTAATAGTCTGTTCTTTGACGTCACAGTCATGGTTTTCCTACAAGTGACTACAAAAACTATGGCTTGCCGTTAGTACAAAAGTAAGGTGTAAAAATTTATCAAAACAACAGATAATAATACACATTTCTAAACACTAAATGCAAAATACAACCCTCTTTAAAGTTACTGGGACAAATGTACATTGTAAACAGGTTGATATTTCTGCAACTTTTGAACTAAAAACATCTGCGTGGTTTTTAAACTCTCTCTTTATTCTGCTTGTAGCATTCGCTTTTAAAAAGCTGACAGAATCATATCAGATGAAAATAGATAATATGCGAGCATGTATTTTTTGGCAGCATATCAAAAGCTAGTTTCAAACTAAATTGGACGATTAATAATTTCTACTATTGATTTCTTTGTAAGTCATTCTTTATGACTCAGTCTGCTGTGTTGTGATACTGCAGTAGTAAAAGCTTTAAAAGAATTTATATATCAAACACCCATTGTGTGAGCAATACGATTAACCTCTATAAAAAACGATGAGTTTGTGAATGATGTAATAAAGCACTTTAATAAAGCAGGTTAACAAGAATTAAGGTTACAACAAAAATCGTGGTAACAACCGCAGAGTGCATTACCATTCTTAGTCATGTATTCCCCAAATCTACTTTTGGTAGACTTGGGGAATAATAATAATTGGTTCTTATATAGCGCTTTTTAAACTTAATATCAAAGCGCTTTTGCATTATTTTAATGGTAGACCAATGATGTGACACTATTGTGATAAACTAGCATGGTTTGAAATGATCGGCCCTTCTCACTGGCTTTGGAAGCCATGTTTTTCTACATTAATGCGGCAAAAGATAAGTATAAAAAACAGAATTTATTTTGAGTGGGTTTCGTAGCCTAGGCTTATACACAAAATTTCAATTTAACTCATGTCAGGGTTGGGGATCTTCTAGGGGGCAAAAGTGAATTTCCTTCTGTACCGCACACGTCTATTTAATTAATCATAATGTTGAGTGGTCTACAGGAGCTTTCAATCCAATTGAGCCTCGATTTGCCCATGAACTTAATTGATCAAAATCATAGACTTGTTTATATTCTACTATATTTTTGGGTGTCCTTTTGGTAAGTTGATATGACAGCCTATTATCAAAGTTATGCTCTTTAAATGCTTTCTGACTGGTTTGTGATAAATGACGAATTTACGTAATAGGAGCTGACATAATTAAATCGATTTAATCTCTGTCAAACAATAAAGGAAACAGTAGAGGTAAACATTGCTATTATACATCTTCCCTCTCTGTCTATTTTTGAATATAAAAAGGAATTTCAAACAACGTTTTGGCAAAACTTTAATTTAAAACAAACAGTTGCTTATGCGTCAAACAAAGAAGGATATAGATGTGGCATTGAAAAGATATTGACATTCCCTAGAACGGCAGAGAAGATCAACAGTTTTATTCACAGGATGTCAACATAGCATAAAATTGAAAGGTTGGGGTAGAATAAAACAAAAGGTAGCTAGTTTACGAGCTGTAATTTTAAGAGGAGACAGGCAAGTCAGCTATATAATATTGGTTTCATATTTCCTGCATTTGTTTTTAAATTTTATGTTTCGGTGTTCGGAGGCACAATGGAAGTTTTTCCCCGAATACTAAATATCCTGAGTCGTAAGAAATATAGGAAAATTTTATTACAATTTTTTTTTCTAAAATTATAAACCATTATTCAATGTTGGTAGCTTTGTTGGCCGAATGCACCTATTGTTCTTAATCCCCTCCCTGACGGTTTTAACCGCCTTCCTGGTCGACAGTAACACAATTGAGCAAAATCGAGGCCCTTCACTAAACGCAACAGATCGAAAAGATGATAGCTCAATTAATTTTACACCGCTCAATTTTACGCGTTCAGCACGCCAAAAAACAATACATCAATCAAAGTGGGTGCTTCAGCGCATTAGGTGGAAACAATGAAGTCGACCACAGGGCCCAGGAGAACGACCAAGCAGTAATTATCCAATGTAGTCATTCGGTTTGTAAACAGGCCTACAATGTAATATAAAAGTAATCCACATGAAACATGTTTCAAAACAGTTGTTTAAAATGTTTGCAGGTGTGCATAAAGACAATAACGTAGCCAGGATGTAGAGTAGCCCCAGGCAGCTGCTAGAGGACCCAAAAGCAAAATTTGAGGTTTGGGTAACAGCAAAACAAAACGTAAGGCTAATCTACCTGACTGGACTTCGCAATCCTTGAATCTGATATCCCTTAACTGATTTTTAGGGTCATTGAAAGAGCATGTTTTTTCCTGACACGTAATATGTTGGTCCCCTACTCTATTTTGGATTTTTTTTTCTGGCTGCAGGGTCTGATGTTATTATTCGGCATCATTTAGCTGCGTTTCCAAAAAAGAACTTTGAAGTGAGAATAAATTATGTATTTCCATCATAATTTAGATATCATCAGATTTCGTTATGAGCAAGGACATAATTAGTAAAGCTCATCCGATTGGTTTTATTTTCAATGAAAATGTAAAAGAACATGCCCAAAAATACTTCAAAGGAAGTGTTGCATAGGGGCAACTTGTATTTGAACAAAGAACAAAACTGGTTACAGTGAAATTAAAATCTTCACTCCTACTGTCACAAATTCATGTATTCACTGTATCTATTTCAAGCTCCATTCTGTTGATTTGGGAATCCTAAAAGTTGAATATAAAAATGGATAGTTTCAGAAATTTTGGCCAACCTGGCGTATTTGTAGACCTCTCAAGCTTTCAGAAGTCTTAAAACAAAATAGTGATGTCTGAAAACAGCTAATCCGTCGAGATTGACATCAGAAATGGATGAAGATTATCATGGGCGGAGACTCTTGTCACATGGGGCTTTGATTTCTGAAAGGTCATCCTTATGCGTAGCGTGTGCATAATGCTAGTGACTTGAAAAACGTGTGCAATTGGGGTGGGGGGAGATAATTAAATTGGTCATCCCCCCAAAAAAGTGGCGGGATATAGGTCTACCCCAAGCCCTGGGATCTCCGCCCATAGAGATTATATCGCGAACCAATATTTAGCAAACATCCTAACCACCGACGAAAAAAGATTTTCAAGCATGCACGGTCAGAACTCAACCCAAGACCTTCCACTAACTTGTTCAATTCTTGTTAGAGACTGTAAGTGAAGTTTCGAGGCCACGTGTTGTTGAAAAAGTTAGAAAGATGTGAAATTAATCATGAATGTGCTGTTTCGACTGATTAACAAGCAAAAGAAAATAATGTTGATCTCGTGCTGAACACTCTGCGAGTGTCTGGTCACAATAAAAGCAATATTTCATACGCCAATACTGCAGAAATAATCCTCGGTCGATTAAAAACCAAAAGAAAACGAAAGAAAAGAAAAATATACGAGAGAAAACGCAACCAAACCAAATCAAATCAAAACACGTCACACGTTTCAGAGATGAACCCGCCCATTTCAAAGTTATAATGGACCTTTCAGTTCATTGTGAAAGTAGTGACTTTTAATAACAAAATAACGGAGTGCCGCCCTATTAATATGGAACTTTTTCAATTTTGCAACATAGGGGGGTACTTTAGTGTAGTTGGATATTACTGTTCAATGGACGCACAGTTATTATTATTTACCAAAATTTGCTGCTACCATGATCAGACTTAAGGTATACATCGTTTGAAATTTACCATGCCAACGGCTGCATTCATAATTGCCTCATTGTTATATCTAAACTTTAATATCGCTGAATGGATTCGGCGTCGCTCATACACTCCGCTTGTATAATTACAACATAGGAAAACATGCGTGGGCGTTTATCATGTGAGCTACCTTAGATGCAAACCTGCCAATTAACGTTTAAGTGACATTGGACTTTCGCTCCTAGTGGCTGGTAAGGTGCGGCTATCTGTCGATGCCAATTTTGAATCAAAGACCATGTGTGCTGTGCATCATTCGCAAAGAGTTAAATTTACCAAATACAGTGACAGTAACCACGCTTTTGCCAATCATTCCGGGATAAGAAACTATGGAAAACGTCTCGAGATTTAACGAAATGTTCGTACCGCAGCATTCGTTCTGGTTCTATTTGGAAGTAATTGTGAACTCGCTTCTGTTCCTTTTTGGCGTGCCTGGCAACTGCCTCATCCTCCGTGTCTACTGGACCAAGACCCGTAAGACTAGCACCCATGTCCTGATCATGGCCTTGGCCTGGGCCGATCTCGCTGTCTGTACATTAAGAATTCCACATTTAATTGGAACAGTCTTAGCTCTGACGACTCCAAACATAGACAATAATCTCATCCTCCGTTACATCCGGCCCACTGAAAATGCAACCGTCGCATATTCGGCTTTAAACACGGGGCTCATTGCATTGGATCGCTACGACTGCATATGCCGCGCCCAAAGTCGATTTTTCACGCCAAGGAGGAGCAAGATTGCTGTTTTTGCCGCAATACTCATGTCGGTAGCAATCGTCATCCCGTCGTTAGCGCGACAACCCAACGACTGGTCAGTGTCATTCCTTTTCTACATTGAAGCAGCAGTAAAAATCTTGACTTTCCTTATCGTGTTTGTGGTGATTGTCTTTTCCTACGGTAACATTTACAAGACCGTCCGCAAACACGTCAGAGTCGCTGTTGATGGGAAAGCAACGGGAAACGAATACGCTTTAAGATGTGTCAGCAAGCGCTCGGTAAAAATACTTGACGCAGCAAAAGACGTAAGCAATTTAAGTACGCCAAATATGGACAAAGCTGCGTCGTGTCTCTCGACAATCTCAGTTAACAACCAAGTGCCACATGCCTCCAACCAACCGGGTACCTCGCAAACCAACCCTGGGAAAATGTGTGCTACAGTTGACAATGCGAACACCCCGTCAAGTGAAGACATTCGCAGTTTGTCCCAAGAAGCAGCAGCGAAGAGCTGTCTTCACCTCGACACAGACCAAGCGACGCTTCCAGGCGTGTCACATAAGATAAATCAGGGTGTCAATCCTACGGAAATGCAATCGAGCAAAGCGCCATCAGCTAACGGGGTACAACACGCCCAGCAAAGGCCCGGTGCCGAAGTCCTTCAGCAAAAGACAACCAGGATGCTTTTCATTACCAGTGTTGTATTTACCCTGGCCTGGCTGCCGTACGTTATCTTAATCTGTACGTTCTTGGCGGTACATGCTGGAGCCATCATCAATAGTACACACGTGAACATTTTGTGCGTGCTCACTTCGGCTTTGTACATCAATAGTGCCGTTAATCCGTTGATCTATGGACTGGCGAACAGACGATTCAGGCAAGATTTCAGGAATGAACTTCGTAGGATCAGACATTGTTTAGCTCACTGCAGGTGGAATACAACATGAATTCAAACAACTTTCCTTTAAGTATTGGGATTTAAATGAATTAAAAAAATATTGATCACATTGTAGTCGTGTTTTATCGTCGAGTATCACAAAGAACATTAACAGCGATGCCTTTTGTGTTAACTGTGTAACAGGGAGTGAATGCTTCCTTTTCCAAATTAAAAATACCAGGGCATATAGAATTTATATAATGTTTACTTTCCGTGTATTATAAATCTCCGAATTCAACAAACAGACGGTTTCCCGGGAGTTAGAACATAATTAACAACCACAGGTCATTATTTGTGTCAAAAAAGTTGTTTGTTGGTTCACAGAATTTGGATGCTTTAACCCTAACACTCCTCAGAGCTCCAACAGGTGAAGGATTGAGGAGTGTTAGGGTAATTTATTTGATAAAAAAAATCTATTCATTAAACTTAAGTTTCATGGCCTCTTGCCGCCAAAATATTACATAACAGGCTGCCATCTCGTTCAACTAAAAGGCAATGGACAAATATAAACGTAACTGTTGAAATGAAAATGTAGCGCATGCAACTTATTTTGAGCGAATTAATTTGAGAGGTTCCCAAATCATTTCACCTTACTAACTCATGTACGTGGCCAGGGTAGAAGGATTGGTTTCAAAACTGCCTGCAAGTCAACATTACAGAGCAAGGGGAGGGCGGAGAACTACATCGCAATCAAATCCTAATTACCGAAGGTTAATATCACACTGCCTTGTCAATCACGATCACCTTTCGTTTCTAACTAGGCCTACATACCGTGTGATGGCAGTTTGAACATTAAACAGAGCACATGACGAAGCGCAACAGTCCAAACAAACACTCATGATTAGAACAGGAATATAAGCAAAAATGAGAAGGCCACTCGAAACAGAATACACCCTCTCTGAATACAGCCTTCTGTTAAGATTTATGAACAATTATCTCAGTAGGAAACATTTCATTTATATAAAAATACCTTTTAGCTTGTTACACTGTCGATGGAAATGCAACTTGCTACGGAATGCAAACAAAGTTCCATTCTGATAAATCGTGTGATCGCGTCCCTTGTAAACCACTGGTTACGTTGGTCATAATATACATTAATTAATAATCCCACAATGGAAAAAGGGCAAACTCGGGGGAGGGGGCACTTATGACTTGCTTTTCCTTTTCTTAACGTCAGCTGCAACGCTGGTTTGTAAGATAATGTAAAAGACAACATAACCGAATGACAAAGTCACAGTCACTGTGTGTGCAGTCCAAAATGTTCATTTTTTCAGGGATCTTCAGCGAGGATCGGTCCCGACGTTTTGAGGACTTTCAACGCGCAGCGCTTTCGCAATTTATCAACTTGTTTGGTATACTTATTAACCCAAACAGGATCCACTTTATAAAATACCCCACCCTGAAGTATAACAGATTGAATCCATTGACCTCTTGGTGTTTTAAGCAGTCATGGGTAATTGATCAACAATTATATAATTTTTTCCCCATCGGTAAGCTTACATAAGAAGAATGCTCCAAACCTTTACCGTTAGTAACAAATAGATAATCTGTGCTTCAGATGGCACACCCTAAAGTAGAAATACGTCAAGCAGATTCATTCATGAAAAGTATAAGCTAATAAGCAATTACGCATTTTGTAATTTTCAGAAATATTTGGCAAGCTTTACTTCGGTGATTAACAGCCCAATACACGCCTGCTTTGCACACAAATCAATTGTAAATGGTTGGTTGATTCGTGGTTCAACACTTTAGTATATTTGTGAATTGAATTTTCTATAAAACTTATACATTATGAACAATAATACATCTTTTTCAATGAGCAACTGATTTCACTTTTCAAAATTCTGTTTGGGCATGAAAAGGAATTCAAGACCGCAATGTTTCACAATCCTCCTTCACGCATGCATTTTCCTTATTCCAAGCATTCTGCAGCCAGCTTGTAAATTACACATTTATACATTGTCATAAATAATTCCACAATTCTGGAAATCAGCTTCTGGAATTGTGAAAAACAAATACATGGAGGCTTCTCACTGTATTTTTTTTTCAAACAGGGTTACTCATGACATTCCGCAGATATATTTGGACTGATCTTCAGTCGATGCTCAGCTGAGGGACACAGCAGAACTAAGGTCTATCATGGCCCGTTCTTACAACTCATAATTATCATTAATATGTTTTTATAACAATATTAGTCCAAATAAAGGCTGTGTTCGCTTTCAGAGCGAGAACAAATTATAACAGTTACATGAAACATTCAAGAACAGAATAAAGCGTTATCTAATCTTTCTCGGCTCTAATAAAAATTACTTCTCCATGCATCATTTACCCCATAAAGGGAACTCCTGGTTTTTCACATTCCAACTTAACTGGATGTCAGGCGCTAGGCCTTGCTGGCCATCCAATATATAGATTTTTTTCTTGTTAAATTTGTGAATTTGATCCACAGACAAATCTTAAAAATTCAACTTGAGAAAGACGTGTTGCCGACTTAGCAAAGCAACACTCAAGTCGCTTCACATTTCAATATCAGACTTTTTGTGAAACGAATAACTATTTTCATGTATACCAGACAAAATCGACAGAAAACGTTAGAACAAAATGTACAACGCGTACCACCGTTGTTAACAGTTTCCATTGCCTCTCCAATTGAAAAACTTCTAATGGAGAGATCTGAAGAAATTATAGGAATGTAGGATTATAGCACTGAGCTCCATCTAAAATGACATTTATACATTTTGTTTTATGTTATTACGGCACCCCCATCAGTTGTCATTGAACTCCTCCCCTCCCCCAGGTCCTGGACATTCAAATTGATTTTATTCAAATAAGGTGAGTATACATCTTCATACAGACATCATTCCCTTCCCAACCGGGAAATTAAATCCAAAATATATCAGGCATAGAACCTTTCACGATTTCAGTTGATTTTCAATCTGACATGGCAATAGTTCAATTTCTCAATAATTAGTGATTTTCGATATTGTTAAATGCTGAACAAATTTGGCAGATGATCTGTTTTCCCAGGACGCTCTTTGTGACTTGTGACAAAACACACTCACTCTAAAAGCCAGACCAACATGTCAGCAACAAGCTCATGTTGCAAATACTGAGACCACCCAGAGAAATCTTTGTCAATGGCTTCTACAATTTCACGCCACTTTTAGTATTTCGTTAATTTGAAATTGCTGAATGAAATACAATCGGCTGATTAATCTGTAGCGGCAAGTCACAGAAAGGAATCAATTTCCAACATTCAAGCCTGTAGTCTTTTCATTTATAAAATAGTTTACTTAAAATGTGCCACATCCAATCTTGGGGGCTGTACCATAGTGACAAAAGAATGTGGGGGTGGAAGAATGAAGAAAACCAGTAACAAAAGGCCCCACGCTTCCAGAATCCTTTTACAAAATCTGATATAAAAGGTCCTATACATAGCCTCATCAAAAAACGAAACTCTCAACATATCTTAACATCAAACAAATTAATACATAAGACAATAAATGGTGTCACCTTAGATCCAGTCTCCTGCCTAAACAGACTTCACTGGGTAACAAATTCTGCACAGCAAAATTGGCCACTCAACTTATTCCTCGTTATCTTGTTATCTTTATTTGTAAGAATGACTGCCTTTGCTCTTCCCTACACAAACATAGTCAACAATGCATCCGCATCCGCACCTTTCCAAAGAGCTGTTGAGATTTTGCTCTGGTTCTCTGCATCACAGATGTTCATTATCAAATTTCCCACAATTCCATCCAAGGATACCCAGGATACTTCCAGAGAACTGACTTCCGTTGATAATTAGATAACTTGTCCACAGTAACTTCTCCAGTTCGTCTGAACTATACCTTTCCTCTGTGGCATGTTTGAGCCCTCTGTTGGGACAGTTAGCTGGGCATAATAGCTGGGAGTGAAGCCTGTGGTGGGGCTTGGATGGCGGCTGTGAAGAAACAAGACACCAAACAAATCCAACTTGGTCTTGTACTGTGGTAATAAGCCTTCTGTTAAGGTGAGCGTTCATGGGCTTTGTGCAAAAACTGCTGATGCCCTGCGCGGCCTGCTATAAAGACTGTAGTGAGACAAGGCATGGATTGGATCCACACACACAAGTTTTTAAATTTTTAAACACTCCAACTTCTAGTCGACACTTTGAAAAATATGACGACAAACTGCCATTAAGATAGTCTGGGCAGAAATCAAACTGCCAATCTTCAGCTTTACAAAGCAAGCTCCTTTACCACTCAGCTATCCGCTCTGAGCAGGGACTAAAGAGGGCGCATTTTGAAATGAAACTGACAGTCTTTTGGTATGCACTCATTGCATAGGCGCGCAAGGTGATGCGGGTTTCATGCAGAGCATGCCGAGTACATGCAACAAATTTAGTCTAGAATGTGTAGTCTTCGCGTGCACGCCGAATGCGTGCAAGAACCCGGTTGGAAAACTTAATGCCATCAGCCTTTCTTTCGCCAGAGAGGCCTCTTCATCTGCCAAGGAGTTGTTTCGTAGTAATACTGAACAATCTACCACACAAGTTGTACAGTGAACTGTCATGCCTCGTGACCTTTAACCTGCTATGTACGATACATGACCTATTGTAAACTTCACAATGCACCCATAATGAATATGCAGTATGGAAAACAAAATCACTGTCTGCCCGGAGAGTGCTCTATATGTCAGGTCAGGTGTCAAAGTCTCTTTGTGACTGACCTTGGTTGCTGGGTGTCTCAGGTAGGGCTGCCTGTTGGTTACTGCTCTCTGCCTCTCCCGCAGCAACTTCTGAAAGACAAATTTCAGTCATGATCGACCAATGCGCTTTATACACAAGATGGCCGTTTGGAATCAGGCTCCCTGAATCTACTTTATTTATTGAGCACTTTGACATGGGAAGGCGCCTGACTGTATGGCTATACTTACAGGTACAGCCTCACTTTGAAACATATTTTCAACTGGACAATAAAGGTGACCCCCCTTCTTAATCCAAGCTCTGGAACTATCCATGAGTGAGCAAGAACGTTAAAAAAAATGGAGCAGGAAAATCTTTCAAACTTGCCCCATTAATCAGGAGCTCCAACTGGCCAGGAAAATGAGCCGTTAATTTCTCTTATTATTTTACCTTCTTTTTCCTTTTCCTTTGTCTCCTCTTGCTCCTCGGCGGCGGTCTTGTCAGCTCGGAAGAAGATGCGAGCACTGCTCAGACTGTAGTACAGTAGATCGAACTCCTGAGAGTATACATGCAAACACAGAAGAGTCCTTCATCCTTCAAGGAACCAGCATATCATATTAGTCATATTGAACAATGTACCGGTATGCCATGCGTACTGTTGAGGCATCGGGTGACCACGGTGATACTGTCACTGATTTTGCAGTGGCCCCCGCCAATGGTGGAAGGCATTGTGATACATGTTGTACAGAACCATTGTACCATGACAGCTGTTCTGTACAAAACCCAACACACGGTGCTTTCTGCCATTAAGGGCGCCCATCGGGAATTTCCAGTGAAACATTGTTGGATTCATCTGCATGTCCACTGGTTGCATTTAGAGAGATGTGGCCAAGAATTGAACTCTCTACCCCGCTGTTCCTCAGATTTCCTTCTTTCCTGTCCACATCCAGCAGTTTCAGTTTAAAAAAGTAAGCCGGGGGCCAGGATGGGTAATTCCCAGAGAAAAGTTACACTGAATCTATGTATACGAGAACTACCGATGACCTGCTGTAAGGCCTACCAGTGAGCTAGTAAAGGGCACACGGTGTATGCCCACTGGGAGAACTGAGTGTGCAGCTGGGACTGAGCACAAACACTTTCCACCAGAATGAGCACAAATAGTATCTACACTTTAAAGAAACACATCTCAGAGTGGGAACAGGGCAATGGAGCCCACATGTCATTTAATTACAAATATGCTTCTGAGTTTAAGGTGTAGTCAACTAGTCATACAAAGATTGAGGGTAGGGTCCTCTTGGCAGTGAAATGGATTGGGTATGTCCTTGTCCTTACCCGTTGGTATGTGTCCAGTCTCTTGATGGTCAAACTGACCGTCTGCTGGAGTTTCTCATCATTAGCCTGTTGTTTCTTCACTCCTTCCTAAAAATGCCACCCGAAATTGACCAAACAAAAAACGAAGGCTGCATTATTATACGTATCTACTGTATATGATGATTGGGAAATAAGATTTTTAAGCACCAATTTAATCAAATCAGTCTTAGCTCAAAAATGAGCTCATTATGAGCTCAAAAATTAGAGATACTTTTTTTTTTAAAATTAACGTTATCACTGGAAATCAGAGTTAGAAATCTGTTTGTACCCTTTGAAATGCTTAATACTAGATTACTTCAATTTTAATTTCACTCTTCTGGTTTGACGGCAGAACGGCACTTTGTGCGAGCAATGGCAAACGATTTTACCTTCTCTTTCTTGTACTTGAAGCTGACTGAGTGGAACCAGTGAAGTGAATCAAACTCGTTATATTGGTCCAGTAGCTTCAGGATGTATGCAACACCTGCAAGGGGACCAACCGAAGCAACATGATATACTACACATGCATGTATATTGACCAGAAAAGGGGGCAATAGTGCACGTCTATGTGCCCTAAGGGACAATAACTGATCACAAGAGTGTCATGTTCTCAAGACTTTGGCATTTGGACATATGACATTTTGTGGTCACTCGCATGCACTAGATTTCAACCAGTCAACTGGTGTCTAGAAAAAATTTGACAGGCATGCAACTTGGACATTGACAAAAAACAAGGAAATTCCAATCTTTACATGACTTTGGACAGTGTTTTTCAATTTTAAGTGAGTGGCATGAGTATGAAGCGAACAACGAAGAAATCAGCTGATTGGAGGAAAAGTTGCACGCCTGATTTGATAATGGTCCAAGTGAACTGATCCCATTGCATGTACAATTTGAACAGGGACTAGTTCATGAGTGGTGCAAATTCCACATTAGCCCTCCTATGCAAAGACACATTCCTGACCGATCAGTCAAAACCAGTCAGATTTCCCATATGTGTCCGTGTGCTGGGGGAAATCAAGTGGAAGGAATTTTTTACTGTTTTTGACGGTTACAGCAAAAGGAGGGCAAAAGCAATAGTTAGTGACCATTCAAATCTGACATTTTAGCTATGAAACAAACTATATAGGGAAACTGACTAGGTGCTTATATATGATAATAAAGATGAACAAAGAAATTGATTGGAGTGGGATTTGAACCTGTGACCTCTGGAATGCAATACCAGTGCTCTGCCAACTGAGCTATCCAGCCCTACATTGCTGGCTCTTCCCATTTGTCAATATCTCTGCTCAGGGGGTGCTAGCCAGAAGACATTAAACCTGAAAAATCCACATAGCCAGGGATCACACCCCAATACCACGATACAACCTGGGAAGTGGTGAACAGGGATCACTCAAAGAGGATATGGCTTTTTGAACATATATTATGAAAGAAAACTGTACAGGGAAACTGACTAGGTGCTTATAAATGATTATAAAGACAAAGAAAGAAATTGACTGGAGCGGGAATTGAACCTGCGACCTCTGGAACACCGTACCAGTGTTCTACCAACTGAGGTACAACATTTTAGCTAATCAGGAGAGGTCTCTCAAAGGAAAATGTGGTATCACCAACCCTAGTACACACAGATTACAGCATGTGTAAGAGGGGCATTGGCCCTTGAAACAGCAGGAGTTTTGTCTCCACAACTAACATACCCATTGCAAATCCGTCGTCGGTGAAGGCTGCTCCGACTTTGTTCTTCTTGCTGAGTTTGTCCTTGCAGTTGATGGCATGCTCAACAAAGTTCAACGTCTGTCAAAGAGGGGAAAATTAAACGTCATTCAGATCCACCAGGTAGTTTGAGAAGATGTTGCAAGAGTCAATGTCATCTTACATGGGCTCCCAAGTCCCTTGATAAACAGCGCGAACAGAATGCATCCCTGGTTTACTGCAAAGTGGAAAATTTTTACGAAGATTCAGGAAGGTTTGTAACAAAATAGCCATGAGAAAACACAGGACAGAAGCAAACAGATTACAGGGTGAAGAACTTCATTCTTAAATGGGCAAGGCCATCTCTCTTTGCACAATGAGCGACTGTGTTAGAGAATAAACCTGTCTATATGGAATCATTTCAAGGGGCGTCAAGGCAAAGACCGCGGACATCAAGGTAATTGCCTCCAATGCCTCTGTGAAGTTCCTGTCTTGACGTTAATCTACAGATCTCCGTACTGTCTCATGACGGGTGTCCAATAGCCAGAGTGACAACCTGCTTGAAGAGATGACATGTGTAGGTCTGAAGTCTTGGACAAGGTGCCCAGCCATGTCCTCAAGTGTCTAACAGTGTTTGTTTACTGCTATATCATGAATTAAACACAGACTGTCTGATGTTGCTGTGGAAGAGCCTGGCTAGAAACCTTACAAGATGGAAGCTTGAGACCCGTAGCATCAAAGTTATTTGATGGATAATGTCAATGATGAGCCTTTGAATCTGTCTGGATATACACCAATCTCTTCAGATGGACAGAGGTTGTCAAGGCTTCCTTTCTTTCTTCCACATTTCATTCATTTCAGAACAGACCAACTCATTCATCCAAGTTCATCACAGAAACTGAAATTGTGGCTCTAACTTACCAGCGGTGGAAGGATCATGAAGAAATGGCGTAAATGCATGTTCTTGGAGCTTCGGAACTCAGGGGCAAAGACATCCACCAGCATCTGAACAATATTGAATGAAACAAAAATAACCATTTTGAGTCTTAACAAACTATCACCATTAAAGATTCAAAGGGAATATTCTATTCAAAACTTGATCAAATTTAACAGTCAATTTACCTTGAAATACTCAGTTCCCTCGGCAAAGTTCTTCGTCAAATTGCCGATCACGCCGTCCAGATTTCTGTTGGAATGATCAAAACGATCACAATTACATTCTTCACATGAAAACAGTACATTCTGGGTACGTTTTAATGCAATAATAATGATTCTTTGCCAGATAATTCCTCAGCCCCCCCCCATTCAACTGTCATAAGACTCACTTAGCCGCCGTCTTCGCTTCTTCCGACAGGCCTTCCTCGGACACCAGCTCTTCAAATTGGACAATGTCGTCAATATCAGGCACGAACCTTGATCCAGAAAAACAGGGTATTTGTGAATGCACTGCATTAACCACACTGGGCTGATTCATCTCAGAACAAATCTCACGCACCACAAATTTCTGTCTGCTGGTCAGCTAGGATTACTTTGTCTCCATTAAATTCTTCCAGATAGAGCGAGGCCAAAAAAGTCCCCACTCATCCCCGAACCCTGTTATGGAGAAATAAACTCTACAACTGGAAAGGAGTTTGCCTCCAAGTTATTTTGCTGATGTTCACAAGTCCCTGTAGCAGCTCAATGCAATGTTCACCACCAAGTGACACATTACGACACACAAGTAAAACAATTGGCAGCACAGTGGTCTTTTACAGACAAAAAAAAATTTACTTTTTTCTGATATATCAAAGAATATAGAATACTGTCATCCCCCCCTTCTAATGCTGTTTTACCGGATGGCATTGCTGCAGCATCGTAGACCCCCAGATCGGATCATCCTGATGTAGCCCATAGCATTTCCTACCAAGCACGGTAACAAAAATACAAATTTGACGTCTTATGAGATCCCATGCCACATCGATATGAACAATGACAAAGGTCTTCCACCCATATTAAACTCCAACATTCCTGAAAGAACCTGAAATACATTACCAAGGACATTTGTTTAGTGTTTATCTTGAGGCCCTAAAGTAAACACATTAAATAAGGAAACTTTGACATTGACACATTGTCACTAAGAATATGAATTTGAGAATAAAATACATCTGAATCAAACATCATGAATAAGGTAACTTCTCTCTAATCTTGGTTTGTCCAAAATCATTCATGCATTGGGATGTCTCCAAAAGCAAACCAGATAGGTAGATCTGCTTTACCACAAACGTAAGATAAAATGGAAATGGTCACACTTTAAGGTGAATTGAAAGTTCCTTTCATAGCTGTTCCTTCCCCTCACCTATCTGACTGATGAGATTGCGGAACTGGTCCAGGTAGCTGTCCCCGTCTGGTGTCAATCCTAGCTTGCGGATTCCTTTGTTGAACTTATCTGCCCTCTCAAAGGGGTACATCTGGTGAAGATCACCCTTGTTCTCTTTGAAGTAACGTAGGTCCTAACAAAATGTATAATGATGCTGCATGAATTACAAAGATGACACTTGACCACTCTAGACAGAAGAAAATACAGTGTCCAAGATACAACTTATAAACAGGGGTCTCCTTCACCAGAAATGTTTATCTGCCAACGTGATGAACAAAGCATAACACAAATGGACCAAGATCAGATGAAAACCAGTCAGTCTAGCATTACAGAAGGAAAAACTGCACAGGAACAACTTGCGATAAAATTTAAGACAAAGATTGTCCAGTTTTATTCAGCCTGTTGCCTGTGTTCAACATTTGGCTGGTAACCATATCCATATGTAGTTACCAGGTGACCGGTCCTCAGCACGACTGGCTTGCTTTCTTTGCCCACTAACTGCTTGTTATTGCACCTCACTCTGATTTTTTTGAGCTTGTCAACAGCCAATGTTTTTCAGTAAAACCAGAACAAGAGAATTCACGAGCAAGATATTCCTGATGTAAACCTGAGACCAAAAGATGTTCACACAGTGCTGACAGTGAAAATGTCATAGGAACTTGTCAAGGTCAACACAGTATTTCCTGCTTTCGGAAAATGACTCTATAGGCATTTGGAGTGAGAGTTATTTCCAGCACAACAGAGAACTGTCCAAGGAATTATCATCAAAAATCATGTTTCAAGGAGAGGTCACAGTGCAAGAAGCACAAATTTCTTCTCTTAGGTGTAACTACAAGGAAAAAAGGAAATGTCCACGGTAGGTACGTAGTGCCAACATACTTGGGTTTTTGTGGGTACGCACGTACCTTGAGCAGTCTGGACTTGATGTGCTCATCGTACATGAACTGGGAGAAGATGAAGAACTTCTTGCGCAGGAACTGGTAGGTGAAGTTGACTGTGGTGTTCATGATGCCCGTGCCGTGGGTTCGGATGGAGTTGGCCACATGTCGGATGTTGATGGTGTTCAGGTGCTTGTTGTTGCTGGAACGCTCTACGAAGATCTGAAAGAACAAAGGGTAAGAAGGAGATATAGAATTGTATGTAGTACCTCTGGGAACTCAGAAAAGACAGTGACGTGATGTCTGGAAACTAGTTTCAATCAAGGGCAAGTTTGACCAATGACTGTACTTAACCAAAGTTTGACTAACTCTAACCAAACATACGCTAGTCAACGTTGGTTGGACTAGTCTAGTTTACTATTTCCGACCAGCCTGCTGAGGTTGGTTGCATCGTTGGTTGCCATAGCACGGTGCCGAGAGGACCAGTTACAAGAAAATATCTAGGTCACTAGCAGACAATGATATCAACTTTTCTCTTATTTTGCCCTTCCTATGACCACTTCTCCACCATGGGCCTAAATCACCTGACAACGGCACATGCGCTAGGCACATCATGAACCAACCACACGTTAACTACTGATCCTCGATCGAACATGGGTACGAGCTCAATCAGGAAGAAGTCCTGGCTCTAAGAAGAGCCAGTGGCAGAAAAGGTCTTGAGAGAGGTTTCTCAAGAAAGTACGCCGCGTTCATCTTTGAGGAACAACTGAACCTACTAAGTAGTTTCCTGCAGATGAGGAACAGGAAACAGAGCCTCTGTTTGAAGTGTCAACACCTGCATGTATCTCATCACCAGCTCTTCTCAAAGCCAATACTTCTACCCAAAACAGCTTGCTTCCATGATGTATTTGCAAGCAGGACTTCCCTGTACATCAATATGCAGTGAAGTTTTAAATAAACAACACGTGGCTTCAAACACCAGCGTTATCTCCATGGGACTGGTTGTCAAATAGACCCTTTTCACGTGAGGTACAATACAGGGTTGCTAATTGCATCTTGGATTGCTGGAGAAGTGTTCACCTGACGAAGAAATCACTACAGTTACTATTGAAAGTAGTCAAATTCAACTTTGTTTTCACAGAGACAACCCTGAACATCATCTAAGCTGATGGATATTGGTACTTACCTGATTGTTAACATTGTATAGGTACTTGGACACAAAGATGTGAATGTTGCGCATGATCTCCAGCACATCAAGGCCCTGCAAGAACAAACGAACATTTGATAAACATCCTTCATTTAAACACCAACTCCCCCCCCAGGAAACAATGTTGCAGGTATTTTTTCTTGAACATGACATAACAAAGACTCGAAATTTCAAATTCCAATTCAATATTTATCTTAATAACTACCTTTTGGTTAATAACATTGATCAAACTTTGAGGAAAACATCAAATAAGATTTCATCCGCCAAAATCACTACGCATCTAATGCGTGAATGGAGTTGATTTACGTTACTTTAGATCCAAGTGAAGATTCAAAACAACTAAATGCTTGGCAACCACCTAAAATAATTGACGGACAATTTAGTTCTAAATAGTCATGTGGAGCATTTTCCACAGGTAACGAACCTGTTCCAGTGTCTGTGTAGGCAGGTGTGCCTCGGTCATTGTCAGGCCATACTTCTGGGATGCAAGGTTCCTCATCTCAGCATACGTCTTCCAGTCGTGGAGGGCTACTGTTGTCAGGTTATAGAAGGTCTTGTCCAAGTAGTGGGTGACAGAAGCTACAAAAAGTTTGTTTTTATAGAAAATACAAACTCTCTTTAATTTTTGAGTACCGGCAACTCTTCTGTAATTTCTTTTATCTTCAGGGAAGCTAATTAACTGGCTCTTTGAAGGCTGGGATATCGACTGACGGAAAAGGTTAACTGGCTGTGGGCACTCACTCATGAGTGTTATGGAGTTCTTTGGCCTGCAATGTCTTTGCTCACAAGTGAGCCACAAAACAAAATTTTAGAAGTGAACCACCGGATTTCTGCAAAAACACACCAAGGTAGCACATTTGAAAACATGGCATTTTTGAAATTTGCAGTAAAATTTGACACTTTCTTTTCAGTTCTGTCCGACTGGAGATTTTTACATCTGAAATTTTCAAAGTAAAAACCACTTCTCTAATTGACTCTGCAAATCAGTAGACTAATAGCTTGGATGCACTAAGGAATGATTCAAGGGCTAAAGGAGAGTTTGCACTTCATGTGAGCAAATTTAAAGTAACATACATTTTGGGGAATAAGGCGAATGGAAACATGTCGTGTCCTGAATTAAGGTTTGGGTTTTAACAGGTTTGAAAATTTTTGATGAAATGAACCTTTGATGTCCAGAAAGTTGTTGAAGAATCGTATAGGTCTCATCTTGATGAAGTGAGACACGTCCTGCAGGGGGACTCGGAAGGGGTTACGACTGTCCAGCTGAAGATGGTTGTGAATGGACAATCTGAGGTCTGTCTCGACTCCACGGCACAGTGGATCCAGCAGGTGCTGACAAAGTAATAAAATTTATGCGTTAAAACAGGCAGTGTCTTAAATGGAAGTCTGTGAGCTACGGCTGCATCTACTGTCAGAGTAAATCCTTGCGCCGGCACAGGGTAAAGAGCTAGACCAAGCTCAAGACAAATGATTTGGACTGAGCCACATTCTACACAAGTCAGGTGCACCCCCCAAATCTGAAAAGGGGCAACATATTTATCTCCTCAATCCTACCTCTGTGAACGTTTTTGCAAAAAAACTTTCCAGCAATCCTCCAGTGCAAAAAAAAAATTAAGTAGCATTCTTTGTATTCAAATTCCAAGGGGCATCGCGCCCCAGGTAAGGCCTTGTCACACTGGACGAATCTCGCGGTTGATGCAGGGTTGAAGGGTTAAAAACTGGCGGTGGATTCACACTTCAAAATTTTCCAGACCAGGGTTGAGAATTTCAACCAGGGTTGAAAATTTTTTGTGCTCATTTCCAGGTTTGACTCACTCTGATAAGCTCAAGTCACAAAAAACAAGTGTGAAAAAATACTGGATTGAATGTAGGTTTAAAAAAATCCAATTTTCAACCCAGGGCGGCCACAGGCTCACCCAGGGTTGAGTTCAACCTGGGTTGGGGGGGCTGTTGTGTGAACAAGTGGTGGTGATAAGACTACAAAGTGGCTGGCACCATTTTTTTCGGGGGGGAGGGGGGTTGAGGCATGAGGGTTGAGGGGGGTTTCCTGTTCCTTACCTCTTTGAATTGTGCATTGGTTTCCTTCTCAAAGGAATCCAGAAGTTGTTGTGGAGATTCCAGATGCTTGGACTGGGTAATTGGGGGTACACAGTCTGCTAGCGCACCGAACATGTACTGGACAAGAGTAAAAGGGTTTCAATTAACCATAAGTACTTTCGGTTACTTTTTTTTAAGAGGCAAATCCTCACACTTGACTGAGAGGTAGACAGCGCAGACGTGAATCAGCAGCATTCTAACTACGCTGTAATGCATGACAGAAATCTGTCTTGGCTTTTTTAATAACTTCCTTCCTACTGCAGCGCGGTGTTTTCAAACATCTGATGCGTCAGTAAACAGAGGCCTACCACAAAACCCTCAAGCCCTGTTGAATATGCCATACTTTTCCATGAACGTTCCAGTTGCAATTACAGTCACAATCAGACAGGGCATAATTCAAAATCAAGTTGATAAAATGCCACCTCGGTGGAAATACACTTTTAAGATATTGTTGACAAGGCCTGAAAATTTTCTGCACAACACCAGCACAAATTCACTTACTCAAAGTCTACAGCATGAAATGAGTGGATTCGGCTAAGATTCGGTTTTGCTAGTTCCAGTCAGAGCTTGAATGAGTAGTTTCAAACCCTGCTTCTAAATGGCTGGAACCAACCAAAGTCTAAGCCGAATCCACTCTTTTCAAAAATGCTGTAGGGTTTAACATTACCCAGTACCCAAACTATTGTTCATAACCCACGTTTGTATTGAAGCTCTGCTTACAATCACTGACGGCCATACAACTTCGAATGTGAGACATTGAGACACTTGGTGGCAGCAAATATACCGGCCCATTTTATCAGTTCTGACCATGTGTGCATTGTTCTAATCAAGAACGCATATTGTTCTGCGCATGTGCAATACTGTGACAAAGGACCAATATGTCTGCTGCCACCAGCCTCTAAAAGTCTCCCATTAGAGTTTTGAACTGCCTAATTGTATGAATCTACACAACTCAGTGTCAGCATACTGCAGGTGAGCCCAAGGGGAGTAATAGATACCCTTGACAATTTCTCTGACGTCACTGAGATGCATTCAGAGGTTTTCCTTGCAATCATTGTGACACCAAGTTTATGAAAATTTGGCCATTCGTGGCTTTTGTGCTTGAATTTATATTGAATGTCTCTACATGCATGCGATGTTTGCAGAAGATCGAACATTGGACAGCTGAGAACTGGAGGGGAAGGGATGCGAAATATGCCCCTTCCGCCCAGCTGTGAGTGGGCCCTTTCAGAGTCAGATTCCTCAGGTTTGTTTGAAAAGAAGTGGATATGTTCTTACATGAAGCCTGTGAGCGTCGACTGCATTCTCAAACCTATCAGCCAGATAGAGAGGAAAAACGACCCGATGCCAGTACAGGAAGCTACAATCGCATGCCTCTCGCAACCTAACCACACACAAATAGCGATCAAAGTTGAATGGAGATTTAACATGAGCTCCAATATCTTAGGTATGTACGAATTCTGTGGAAGGCGTCTGAAAAATCCTCACACATTTTATATTGAAATATCTGAACAAAAGTAAAGGCTGTTTCGGTAAATTGCTAGAACATCCAACACAGATTAATTTACAGCGGACATTTTTGGCCTCTTTGTAGTACTCAACCCCACTGCCTAACCATTTTTCTATCAAGGACAGTACCATTACTCAAATAAAATAAAACTTTTTTGTTACAGAGAATGGGAACATTGGCAGCGTGATCCTCATCAGTTTTGTATATTTATGGAAGGTTACTGAGGTACATTAATTGCTGAGACTGTTTCCATGGCCACCAACATCCCTGCTATTAATTGCATCATCGATAAACATCAAATCGGTGGCTCACTACATGCATACGTGAAGACAGATTTTACCTGGGAAATTTGTCTTCAGGTTAACTGTTTTAGAATTGTTTTTGACAGAAAGCTTCGATAACAGTAATTGTGCATGCCGTCACCAAATTTGGGAATGAAATGGCTTCCTAAGACATGCAACAGGCCATGCTCTTGTTGTTAACTGTTTATCACATCAAAGTGGGGGCTATTGTATTGATAAACACACATCAAAGGCTGGATGTGAACCACCCTGGCTGCAATACGACAACCACTGCTATCTTTATATCAAAACAGAGTTAGAGTTTAAGACGCTGAGGCCTACTGTAAGAATGTCTGTCATCCTGGGAGGCCTGCTCACTTGGCATCCGTAAAGAGGAGAACCAGTTCCTCTGAAGTACCCACAAGTTGCTGGTTTTCAGAGGTTTTTGATTGATTTGATTCACAAGAATCGTGATAAGAGCTTTGTCTGGGAGGACGGCAGTAACAGTAGTTTTCTGACCTGGTATGTAGCAGAACCAAGTCCTCTCTTTTAAGGAGAATTCTGTGTTCTAATGGAGAGCATGGGTACATGGTTTGATGTTTACTGTGACCGATATTATTATTATATGTGTCAAATTAGGATTTGAATGTTATTACATGTGGCAAACAAATTGTCAAGCAGTTGTTAGTTTCTTTTTTATTAAGATGTATTTTTGCGTTGGGGAGATGTTAAGATGTTTTCACAAGCTCTCGGACACGCACTGAGCATACAGTGCTTATTAATATACATTGGGTAAGGGCAAACCCGTTATATAATTAGTTGTTAGTTTGTTTTCAACTTTGCTGTCACAAAACTCCTTGGAAATACATGAGATGTATAAAAGTAATTCCGTCAAATCATTGATGAAACAGAAGAGATGGAATAATCACAGCACAAAAAAGAAATCCACAAAACGTAAAACACAGGTTTTCAATTTGGCAAGACCCAGGAAAATGATAACAATATTCCATCAAATAATGACTCAACAACGTGAAATCTCAAAAAAAGCAACTGAATCATTGACTCAGAAAAAGTAAGTTTTCTCTTACCTTGGACATGGACATGTACATGCATGTGGGGAAGATGATTTTTGACTCTCCATTAATTTTGGACGAGGTAGTGGTGCATGGTTTGATGCACGATGCTACCAATCCTCAAACAGTTAAAGAACTGAGGACTGTCTGGACTCAATTGTCTTCAAAGTTTAAGGGAGGAGTCTAAAAAATTCTTTACAAATCTTAAATGGCAAAATCTTCAAAAAGTTTAAATTAAAACGGCTGACTTTCCCTGGTCTCCTTGTAGTCTCCATAGATTTGTTATGGGGTGGTACTCAGCTCTGCTGCCTATTGCTATCAAGGAGAGTATCATTGCTCCAGCACAAAGGAATTATTATTGTTATTGTCAAGATCAAGAAAATTGGAAGCGTGATCTTCATCAGTTTGGTATATTATGAATGATTATTGGAGCGTATAAACTGTTGAGACTGTTGCTATGGCCACCAATGTCTGTTATTAACAGGATCAAATCTGTGGCTCCCTGTACAAGAACAGATTTCATCTGGGAATTTTTTTGTCTTCAGGCCAAAAGTCTCACTGCAACTATACTTGTACGCTGGGAGAAGTGCGACAAAAATGGCTTCCCTATCCATGCAATGGGCCATTTTGTGTGTAGTTCTCCTGTTGTTAATTGTTAATCACATAAAAGTGGGGAGCTACTGTGTTGATAAGCACACATCAAAGGCTGGATGTGAACCACCCTGGCTACAATATGACAACCACTGCTACATGTATCTTCACGTCAAAAAAGAGTTATCTTTCCACAATGCTGAGGCCTACTGCCAGAATTTCTCTAAACCTGGTAAGCCTGCTCACTTGACATCAGTTACCAGTGAAGAGGAGACCCAGTTCCTCCTGAATTACATACAGGCTGCTGGTTTTCAGAGGTTCTTTGCCGGTTTGATTGACCAGAATCATGATAAGGGCTTTGTCTGGGTGAATGGCAGTAATAGTGGTTTTCTGAAATGGTACGTAAAAGACCCAAGTCCCCTCTTTCGAGGAGAACTCTGTGTTCTCATGGAAACCATGGTTTGATGTTTACTGTTACCTGAAATATTATTTTATGAGTGAAATTAGGATTTGAATACAATCACATCACGGCAATCAAATTGTCCAGGGGCTATTTATTTACTGTCTACAAAATCAATCATTGGAAATGCATAAAGTGCAACTCCAATAAGTCATTACTGATGCGGAAGAGTTGAAATAACTGCAGCTCCCTAATTTTCCCAAAATATTTAGCATTTTTCTTCACACAGATCATTTTCAATTTAAGCAAGATCTGAGAACATGATAAATATATTCCATTAAATGACAGAAGAATATTTGAAAAATCAATTCATTACACATTGTAATAGAATCCATGTTTCGAAAAATACACGTTCCTCCCAGATAAGCTATTGCTTTGTTAAGGAAATTTAGGGACAAAATTAGCAACTTAGATGATGGATATCCATGAACATGTTTAGGGTTTAATCAAAAGATATCAAAGTACCATGTGGCTAAATGATTTCTCTGATTCAGGCGATTTTGCAGTAGCCAAGCATGTGGACAGCAACCATTTATGTACAGTGTAATCTTACAATGTAGGTGGTGGGGCTGATTTTTGCCACGTGGTGCAAGGATCACCATTTGTGCCACATACGGTTGTCCTATGGTGCCAATTCAACACTTTGTGCCTGCTATACACTGGTAGGACATCTCTCATCTTGTCTAAAAGTTAAGCTAATTATGTCATCACCATGTCACGCCCATTAATGATTGTTGTAGCATTTTCCGAGGACCATCTTCACATAATGGTTACGTGTCTGTCACTGATAAAGCCAAATGGATTATTTTTGGATGGCCAAAAGGGTGTGCCAGCAAGAACCTGTTTATAAAGCGTATGAGAAAGAAAAAAACTTAACGAGACAAAGGTTGTTTTGGCAAACTGCTAGAGTATTCCAAAGAGACTTTACAACAGACACATTTCCGGCCCTCCATAGAATTGTTGTGGGGACATACAGTGTACTCAAGTGTCATATCAAAGGCATCATTGTTGCCATCAAAACAAAGGAATGTTTATAGTCAGAAAGATACACACTGGTGGCTATGCCAATGAAAAGTCAGGTGAAGCCCGGGCCTTCCCACCCGAATTCTTCTTTTCGTTTGCCCTGAACTATCTTCCAAGAAAGTGTGTTATTGTAACACTCAACAAAGCTACAGCCTCCGTGGCCTGGCCACATCATAAGTCCTTCCTGTCTCAGGCAGGTCTGCAGCTGTTCAATTTTCAGTTCCATTCAGTGCAAGCAATTATCAGTGAATTACCTGTATACAATGTAGGTCTGCATTTTCATATTACAGCTGCATTATTCCAATGAGTGGCAGTTAAAACTATGGCTGGCCGTCACTACCAAGTAAAGAAATAATTAAGTGTTGAAAATCCCAAGTAGCCGATGAAACACCCAACAATGCACTAATGCTTCATGAAAATACAACCCTCTTCATAATAAATCTACCAAATGTACATTTTGAATGAATTTGAGGCAAAAAAATCCTAACAAAAAGGTGGTTTTTTTCCTGCAAAGTTTTGCTGCCTATACCAACTGTAGGCAAAATGAAAAGGTCTTCTGCTTGGAAGTGCTACTGAAGCATAAACAGTCCTACAGTGCTTAATTTGTTTCCTTCGTTAGTCAAGCTGGGAAGCAAAAAATGTACACGTACACGTGTAAAGGTTGAGCTGACTGGAAATGCCTGGCCTTCATGTTGCTTTCGATTGACTGGCTTTAGAGCAGTATAATTTGTAGCAATTGTTCAGCTTTCTACCATAATAGAAAATGATGAATAGTGTGTAGACTGCTAAGACTGTTGCCGTGGCCACCAAATGTCTGCTTTCAAATGAATCAAAACTGTGGTTGACTGTTTTGAACAACGTATCTTGAGGGGAATTTGCTCCTCAGGCCAGCTGCCTCTGACTTATTTTGAGGGAAACCTAGGGCAACTACACTTGTACATGTATGCTGTCAGCAAGTTTGGGAAAAGTGTGACAGAAATGGCTTTACTATCCATGCAATGGGCCCATTTTGTGTGCCATTCTCCTGTTGTTAATTGTTGATCATATCAAAGTGGGGAGCAACTGCATCGATAAGCACACGTCAAAGGCTGGATGTGAACCACCCTGGCTGCAATAAGATAACCACCGCTATCTGTACATAAAGCCAGGGCAGCTTTTGACAATGCTGAGGCCTGCTGCAAGAATTTCTCCAAACCTGGGAGACCTGCTCACTTGACATCGGTTACCAGTGAAGAGGAGAACCAGTTCCTCCTGAACTGTGCAAGTTCTGCCCGTTTTCAGAGGACAGTATCATTGCTCTAGCACAAAGGAATTATTATTGTTATGGTCAAGATCATGAAAATTGGAAGCGTGTTCTTTGTCAGTTTTGTATATTATGAAAGATTATTGGAGCACATGAATTGTTCAGACTGTTGCTATGGCAACCAATGTCTGTTATTAACAGGA